AGAGAAAAATAAATATGACATCTGTCATTTAAAATTATAGGCTAAGCAAAATATAAACACAACAGAGTTGAACGTCTCGGTTACGTATGTAACCCTCGTTCCCTGAAGGAGGGAACGGAGACGTCACGTCCCGTCGCCACAGCTCCTGTACCACCGCTGAGCGGCCGGGTCACCGGCTTGGCTCCTCAGCGAAAACCTGAATATGCGTTGCATCTGCTGCCTACTTATACTCACGCTGTGATCAGCAGCAGCTGGATGCAATAATCGCATGCCAATGTGCATTGGCTCGTTTAGTTTGCACTCGAAGTAGATTGGTCCCTCTAAGCGAGATCCCAATTCGTCGGTCATCCGACGTGACGTCTCCGTTCCCTCCTTCAGGGAACGAGGGTTACATACGTAACCGAGACGTTCTGTTTCTTCAATTAAAGAAACAGAACAAACTGATCAGTTAAAGGGGTTTCAGGCACCAAATCACAACATGACTTGCCCAGAAATCCTGTGAATAAAGCCTCACCTGTGACCAGGCTCCGGTCCTCCACTGAGATGGGCAGACGCTGGTGTTACAGACTCTGCGGGTCTCGGGACGCTCCTCGCTGCAGTATTTAGTGTGAACGGGTCTGTTGGTGCCGTTCTGGAGCGGCTGCATGCACTGGACCACGCGAGACTGATATCCCAGCTTCCCGCAGGATTTACTGCACGGACCCCACTCCTCCAACACCCACCTGCACACAAACACACACCTCGGTTAGGCTGCATTCGGGTCTCAGGTCGAGGCATATGACGGCATCAAATTTACATGTTGCAATTAATTGCTAATGCTTTTATCACGGTATACAGTATTATCACAATAGCTGCAAAAAAGTTGTCATAATACAGTATAACAGGTTTAATAACTTCTTTCTTATAACAAAAAGAACTAAACAATTAAATACAATAAAGCAAAACACAAAACATTTTCCCACACAGATTAAAGTGCAAAAGAATTATAAAGACCAATAGGTATCACTTTACAATAAGATCTCATTAGTTAACCTTAGTTAATGCATTAACATTAACAATGAGCAATAGCTTCATTTGTTACAGAAGTTATAAAAGCAATAAGCCCCAAGAAGCCGTGGTTTACAGTGAATTTATAACAGCTAAGGGGTGTTTTTAGGTACGATTTGAAGCTGTTATAAATTCACTGTAAACCACGGCTTCACGGGGCTTATTGCTTTTATAAAACGGTTATTCCATACACGTAGTAAGGTTTCACAAAATAAAACAGAACCAAAGGTGTATGTTTGTAGAGTAATTTACAACAGCTTTGAACGCGGCTCAGCCAATCAGAATCAAGGACCGGAACTATCCGTTTTATAATATTCTTTGTTAAAAGATACAACTGTTAGCTTGAGTTCATTAAATAACAGAGTTGCAACTTTTGATTTTAACGTGTTATTAAATATAGAAATTACCTAATTAATGAATGTTGAGAAGAATTGTTTATTGGCAGTTTATGTTAACTAATGAATTAACTAATGTTAATTTAACTAATGTTAATGTTAACATTATAAATATATAAATATATACCTTTATATTTACTATTTGAACCAATGCAGAAGTTATTTCAGGGCGAGACCGCCCTGATTGTAAAGCGAAACGTGATTGGCTATAACAAGAACGTGCTATGATTGGTCAGCGAAGTGAGGCTGTTATCTGATTGGCTTGAGTAGACGGTGGGTGGAGTCCACGCATTTGTGAATCATCAGTGCCTTGATGCTAGAAATGTTGCAAAATGCACAAATGCATAGCAACCGATCCACAAATGAATGCCAGGCAAAGTTGTGTTTGTGACATAAAAAGATATTTGTGAATATGGTTTTTATTTGCAAATCTCATTTAATTTGTCTATTTTTGTGAATTTAATTAATGTTTGTGAAACTGAAAGATTTTTTTGTGGATCTCATTCTATTTATTTGTCAATATATTTAATATTCACGGTATTTTGAAGTGCCCACGATAACAATATTGTGCATGTTCATTATCGTGATATATGGCATTTCCGGAATACATGTTTAGTCTCAGGTGACTCACGTGGGCTGGCTGCAGCTGTTGGTGTTGCAGCGTTTCCGGATGGGTTTGGGCTTTTTACTGATCTCACAGAAGTTCCTGTGAACCAAACGTCCGTCACTCTTCCTCCGACAGCCGTATTTAGTGTACTGGACACCTGAGGAACACGCGTGCATTAGTACTTACAAAGTGCATTTATACACTATTGCTCAAACTTTTGGAATAATTATGATTTTTAATGTTTATGAAAGAAGTATCTTTTGCTCACCCAGATGCATTTATTTGATCAACAATACAGTCAAAATTATGGAAGCTTGTTTCCGCCATGGAATAAAAATGGTAATTGCGACTTTCTATCTCACAATTTTGACTTTCTTTCTTGCGAGTTTACATCTCTAAGTTCTGACTTTTTTCGCAGTTGCGAGTTTACATCTCTACGTTCTGACTTTTTTCTCGCAGTTGCGAGTTTACATCTCTAAGTTCTGACTTTTTTCGCAGTTGCGAGTTTACATCTCTAAGTTCTGACTTTTTTCGCATTTGCGAGTTTTCATCTCTAAGTTCTGACTTTTTTCGCAATTGTGAGTTTACATCTCTAAGTTAAAATTATGGAAGCTTGTTTCCGCCATGGAATAAAAATGGTAATTGTGACTTTCTATCTCACAATTCTGACTTTCTTTCTTGCGAGTTTACATCTCTAAGTTCTGACTTTTTTCGCAGTTGCGAGTTTACATCTCTACGTTCGGACTTTTTTCTCGCAGTTGCGAGTTTACATCTCTAAGTTCTGACTTTTTTCGCAATTGCGAGATTACATCTCTAAATTCTAACTTTTTTCGCAATTGCGAGTTTACATCTCTAAGTTCTGACTTTTTTCACAATTGCGAGTTTACATCTCTAAGTTCGGACTTTTTTCTCGCAGTTGCGAGTTTACATCTATAAGTTCTGACTTTTTTCGCAATTGCGAGTTTACATCTCTAAGTTCTGACTTTTTTCGCAATTGCGAGTTTACATCTCTTAAGTTCTGACTTTTTTCTCGCAGTTGCGAGTTTAAATATCTACATTCGGACTTTTTTCGCAATTGCGAGTTTACATCTCTAAGTTCTGACTTTTTTCTCGCAGTTGCGAGTTTACATCTCTAAGTTCTGACTTTTTTCGTAATTGCGAGATTACATCTCTAAGTTCTGACTTTTTTCTCGCAGTTGCGAGTTTACATCTCTAAGTTCGGACTTTTTTCGCAATTGCGAGTTTACATCTCTAAGTTAATGACTTTTTTCTCGCAGTTGCGAGTTTACATCTCTAAGTTCTGACTTTTTTCACAATTGCGAGTTTACATCTCTAAGTTCGGACTTTTTTCTCACAGTTGCGAGTTTACATCTCTAAGTTCTGACTTTTTTCTCGCAATTGCGAGTTTACATCACAAAGTTAGGACATTTTAATCGCAATGCGAGTTTACATCTTGAAGTGCTGACTTTTCTTTTCAATTGTTTCTTTTTTCACCGCGGAATAAAAAATAAATGTAAGTGCAACTTTTTTCTCATAATTGAAAATCCAGCTTTGCATCACAGGAATAAATTACATTTTAAAATATGTTCAAATAGAAAACAGTTGTTTTAATTTGTAATAATATTTCATGTTATTACTGTTTTTACTGTATTTTTGATCAAATAAATTCAGCCTCGGTGAGCACTAGAAACTTCTTTCAAAAACTTTGCAAATTATTTCAAAAATAATTTCAAACTTTTGTAATAAATCTCAGATGGTGTTGAATGGCACACCTCCGCCACAGGGTTTGGAGCACTGCGACCAGCTCTTCAGGGCCCACTCGTACGTGTCCAGTTCGGCCAGCAAAACATTGTTGTTGGTGATGACCGGCAGAAGATCTTCATGAATGATGTATTTGTAGCTCAAACTGATCTTGGTGTCCTCGGCCTGCGGGACAACCTGTTCAAAGCAACAAACTCAACACCTGCTGCATCAACTCAATCAAACTCCATGGCCTGGTTTCACAGACAGGGCTTATGTTAAGCCAGGATTAGGCCATAGTTCAATTAGGACATTTAAGTATCTTTTATAAATGTGCCTTAGAAAATAACAATACTTGTGTGCATCTTGAGACAAAACAATGACAAATGCACTGACATATTTTAATATTTGTCAGTGTAAGTTTCTTTCAGGTAAAACAGCCCAGACATGCATTTTAGTCTGGGACTAGGCTTAAGCCTTGTCTGTGAAACTGGGGCCATAAGCGTTAAGGCCGTTTCACACTGAGCACGATGCAAAAATGCGAGGCAAACCACAGACAAACAGTGCTTTCACACCGAGTGCGAAACGATTGATCGTCTTACATACGATTGATATGCATCTCGTATATGGGCTCAATATTGAGTGCTTGTAATAACTTCCGATTGTGATCTATAGTTGATTTTGATTCTATAATAGGCAGACGTGCACTCTTTGTATGTTTAATAACGCTACACTGCTTATCACTTGTCATAAACAACCTTTATTGTTATAAAAATACCATGAGCTGCATACAAAACACATACAGAAAATATATCGTCATAATCATATGTGACCCTGGAGCACAAAAGCAGTCTTAAGTCGCTGGGGTATATTT